TTTTTTGAAGTTTCATAAATTGTGAGTATTATCATCGGCCGTGCCACAGCTCTTACTGCCAATATATGGTTACTATGTTTAAGGGCCATACATCATGGATCATAAAATTTTGGATGCTGTATAAATAAAAGATTGTGGTTTTCGTTTCAAGGCAAACGTTGTCCTTCTGGTTTTATTAGTTTACGTGTAATAAAATACTAAGATACTCAATAATTTGTCTCATTGTCTCATTTGATCGTTTTAAACTGTTCCAGCACGTGCACTATCATGTGTTTCTATTTGCTTGCTCAACACTCCACCTTCATTTTTATGAGTACTTCTCTCAGATCTTAGTTTAAACAAATACAACTTGCAATTTTTCGATTCAACTAAAAAAATATAACAGCTTGCTATAAAAAGACAAAAATTCTCTATATTCCATGTACTGTACTATATGTATGTAAGTATGTACTGTTTTTGTTGCTTTTGGTTTCAGGTAAGTGTATATGTATGCATGTTAGTTGCTTTGGTTGGTTTGCTTGTATTGTAAGTATGTTCGTTTTAGTTAGGTAGTATTGTTTTTGTATTCAGTATGCATGTCGCTAGTCGATCGCATTGTTTTTTATTTATTTTTTTAATTTAATTTTTCTTTGTTTTATTTTCGTTTTTTTGTGTTTTTTTTTGCTCAGGTTGCGTTAGAACTACTATATATTTCATTGTGTAAATTAATTTAACTTATAATTTTTGTTCGGCTCTAACAGTAATAATCATCGCATTGTTATTCAATAGCAATGCAGCGTGTTATAATTAACATGCAATTTTCTTTTGTTTGTTTGGTATGGTAAGGTTCTTTATGTTTTTTTTTTGTTATAGGTATCATACTAAGTTTCATGTTTATCTTCAAAATTTTTTTATTTCTATAGTGTTGCTTTGAAGTCTCTTCGAGTCGCCATCGTCGTCGTTTTTATGCTTAAATAACCTGTACACTAGCGAGTGATTTATACAATACATATATATATACATATATATGTATATATTTTTTTTGGTTCTCATTATTTCACTACATTTTATTTAATTATAATTATCATGGGTTTCATACTCGAATTAATATGTATTAAGTTTTTTATGCGGTATGTATGAATTTTGTATGTAGTAGAGTTAGTTCACCAGTTTTCAAATTTCGATTCTTATTATTAAAGTCATCACAGTTAGCGGAGCTGAAATTATGATTAATTGCTGAGGACATTAGTTGTTTTATTACGAGTACGAGTACACGTATACAATATGTTTAAGTGTGTGTCTTTGTATGGTCATTCACGTAGTATGGTTTTATGCATCATGTACATACATACATTCATATGTACATATGTCTGTACATCCTTCCGATGATTTATCATATTGTTGCTCGTCGTGATCGTACTATATAAGGGATATGCAATAGTTGCAATTGCATTTTTTGTTCTTGCTATATACCTATCTGCTCCAGGCTTCAGTGTCATGGAGTATTGCCCTCAAAGAGCGCACGGAACTCGCCGCTACGTGGTCGAGGTAGCCCTTCCCTTATCGTTTGCACCGGTCCCATGAAACTCGACTCTGAGCCATGAAGCAAATTTTCCTTGATATCCATGTCACTGCAAATAGAATTGAAGGAAACCATGTTAGCATACATATGTTCGGCAACGAAACAAAAGTTATCATTCATCTTCATACACAAAGAAAACATTATCTAATAAACAAGGCTGACAAATATGAGCCTATTATTTTGAAAGTGGTCTTGTCATTTCAACAGTATGCGAAAGTCGTTGATTGTTAATTAGAAACTGGAGTAAGTCCAAAAAATAGCTTATTACAGTGGTCGTCCAGTATAACGAATGATATAATGTGTAGGTTCATACTCTATCCCGCTGGCCGCTGTGGTGTAGTGGTAAGCAGTGCGCGCTTTCACTCATCAGCACCTGGGTTCAAGCCGTGGTCAAAGCAACATCGCAAACAATATAGAAAAAAGGGTTTTTCTTAACAGCGATCGTCCTTCGGCAGGCAATGGCAAACCTCCGAGTATATTTCTGCCATGAAAAACAGCTTCTCATAAAAATACAATCGCCGTTCGGAGTCGGTGTAAACCTGTAGGTCCCTCCGCTTTGTGTGACAACATCAAGGCGCACGCCACAAGTCGGAGGAGAAGCTCGGCCAAACGCTAACATATGTGTAAGCGCCAATCTGCTATTATTATTATACGCTATATCCAAAAGTACGTTATATCGAATTCGAATCGAAAAATTTTATTATGAGAATTCAGTAAAATCAGTCTATATATTACATATGAACCCCATATTCCAATTTTCCTTAATGTGTGTGTTTTTTTTTTAAATTTGTTCACCTAATAAATAACAAACGTTTACGCGACAGAGGTATTTTTCTAGTTCAATAAACGCCACCACTTGTAAGAAGCTATTCTTTTGAACTGACGGTAATTCCACGTACGCAAAAATCATGCAAAATCATGTCATTCAAGCACATAAAGTAGACAAGCGTTCGTTATATAGGCATTCGTTATACTGGACGACCACTGTAGTTATAGAAATCAGTCAACACTGATGGCAACCCTTTCCTAACTGAAAGCGCACCTACAAGCAAAGAACCAGTAGCTATTTTGTCGTTATATGGAATTTATTTAGTTTCCTTTGAAGGTGATCTTGATCGTATGAACATGCTTAAAAATCTTGCAGTCCGAAAAATCATTTATAAATTTTACCACTATGTCAACTTATAGTACACTGGTCCAATTTTTGTATGGGGGAAACATTTTAATCCTAGAAAATGGAGCACCCCCTTAATTTTTTCCTTTTGGTATTTGTAATATCTATGCCAACTTTAAATTCTCTACTGTAACCAATACAGGGTGCTCAATGACCTTGAAATGCGCTACTGCATTGCTGTGAAACCGGCAAAAATACTGGCGATTTTTATAAAAAACTAGTGTTGCCATGACAACTGAAGCTTGTGATATTTTTTTAGATAATTTAAATTTGAAATGTTCTTAGGTTGCTGAACCAATTGTTTGATTAATATATGTGGGTCATTCCATTGAAAACAGGTAAACGACATGTTTTTAAATATGCCCTAATTATCTCTATTTCACTAGTAACCTCTTTTTAAATGACTACATCTGTTGAAAAGTATTAAAAAATCAGAAGAAGGAGAATTTGTCTATGGAGACTTTTATTTTATGCATAATTACTTTACACCAGTCAAAACTTTCAACCAGTTACAACTTTAAATATTTTTTACCATTTCTATGAAGATTATGTAAACCTCATTTTCATTGAGAACGAAAGCATATAATTCATGTTTTACAACATATCGTTTGTGAAGATTACGTGTTTTGGCTAAAATTCATCTTTGAGTGCGCAAGGGTAAAACAGGGATCTTTCCAGTGTCCCAATAGTCACATTCATTTAAATGATAGTTACATAAAACTAGGAAATCGTTCGGTATTTTTGTTAAAGCAATTTTATACATTAGTTATCGTTTTATGTTAAAAAATATCTTTCGCTGTTGTATAAGTTCCGACGACATAGCTTAAATTCACAATTGATCACATTCTGGAGTAAAATGTCCCACCAGTCACAATGGAATGGCCCATGTACACAATACTTCTAGAGGAAAATATGAGCATCATGAGCATTCTCTGAATTTAGACTTAGTAATGTAAAGTTTGGTACCAGCACCTCTTTCGTCAAGAGGAAAAATTTGGGAAGGCGCCCATGTCCTATCTCGGGAAACAATTTTTTGGACCACTCTAATATATCACCGTGTAATAGCGTTAGAAGGATATTGCAATTTTCTTCTCCGGACGAGTAAATGTTAGCTATAAATTTAGAAAACTTTCAACTGGATCAAGGACATTAAAATTAATTAAGGCTTAATATATAATATTCTGTGTGAATTTTTAAATAAATTTTATGTTTTCAATAAAGTTCATATTTTATTGCATTTTCATTATTCGTATATTGGTTATTAAGTTGATTTTGAAAATGATCTACGTCCTTCAGTGCGATAAAATAGCAGAGAGATAATAAATTTTTATTATTCAAAACCATAAAAAGCAGAAAAAAGATATACCACTATAGAAAAAGATTTCGTAATTTACGCAAACACAATCCCTTAATTATCTTCTAACAAAAAAATGCCTCTTTCAAGATAATGGGCTCATATAAGCACACAAAAATTGATTTTAAGCGCTATAAGCTCGATAAATAAACAAAATATGCTCTTAAATATGCTAAGTCGATGAAGTTTTATTTAATTTTACAGTATAAAATTACATGCTTTTTTAAATCATAATTCGAAAAACTTCTTTCCACATTCGTATACATGCTAATGTAGTTTGACAAAATTTAAATAAAATTAATTCGGTTGGGGGTACTTGGGTAAACCTTGACTAGTAGTTGTGGAGTCGACAAATAATATATATTTCATATTAGCAATTGGATATAAATATGCCAGGGTTTTTGGCCGAAACATTTTCAAGTGTTTTTTGTTTTTTAATATCTACACAGTGGCGGCCATAAAAAAATAAAATATAAAACGCTTTTTTCTAATGGCGGTCGCCCTCGGCAAATAATGGCAAACCTCCGAGGGTATTATGCACAAGTTTGCTTGTTCTCTAGTTAAAACTTTAGTTTATAACTTATGTCGATAAAGGCTGGTTTTCAGTATGTCAAAATCAGTGGCATTTGTCGTCAAATAAGTGAAAACACATTGTCAAATGGGAGCAAAAAGCGGTTTGTCCATTGATTTGGATCAGGATAGGTCTTTAGTCGTGTACATGCGCTGCGAAATCGGCTATCTGTCAATTGCTGGCCCATAATATCATCAGTAAAAGTATGGATGTCTCCTTTATCCAGTTGTGTCAAAATTTGCCGTCAAATTTTGGCGTCAAAATATGACATAGTGAAAACCAGTCTTAACTTACTCGTCTTTGCAGTCGTCTGCCTCGGCAGCTAAGGCATTAACCACTGCTGTGATGGTGTTTGATTCTGGATTACTGATTTGTTCATCCTTTTGTTGCATAATATTTGGATTTTTCCCAATTTTGTTTAAACGCTCTGCAGCAACTGTTTCCATAGTTTTCCTCATTAATGGATATTGGTCCAAAACGCAATTAAAGTGATCTACACTTAAAGAAAATAAATTGCAATAGGTTTCCGCACGCACACTGGCCACTCGCCTTGCATTCGTCAACAGGCAAATCTCACCAAAATACGAGCCATCGGAAAGTGAAGTCGCAACCTAAAAATTAAAATTAGTTTTTATTTTAAGATTGATAATTTTATATGAAAACGATAAATGTCTATATATAGGTAACGCACTTTAGTCTAGAAAAACATATTTTTGTCATTAGGATAAAAGCTGATGTTGCCGTTACCAATTTAAATTGGAGTTTTCTTTAGGTATCTATACATGTGTGTATTAGGGTGCCCATCGAAAATGCTTTTTTTTTTTAAATTTCAAGACCCTATCCCCTAATTTTACTAGTTTTTTGAGAAATATTATTGCCTATTTTTATAGATTTTTGGAAGGTCATTTAGAGGTCGCGACCTGTCCATTTAAGTCAGAAAATACGATCTTGTAGATTCATGAGATTTTGAATGACTATTTTTGATTCGATTTCAAAGATCGAATATGATCTGAGAAGAGGTATAAAATAATCTATTGTCGGACTTGGCTTGTTGGGATTTTTTATCGGGTAAAATAAAAAAAACCCATATTTCTCTTAAGTTCCACAATTTCAAAATATGTAGTACTATCTAAAATTAAATCTATTTTTAAATAATCGGATAGCTCATTTATTGCAATCGCCTAATAATAGTTCAAGTTAGGCGACTTTTCTTAAATACGGCCCTGAATTTATACTTAGGGGATTCCCTTAACCCATTAGTGCATAAGGTCCCTTTAAAGGGACGGTCAGCTTTTGCTCTCTTACTCTCCCATGTTGCAATACAGATCTCATGTAAGTTGATGGTATAGTTTTTGACATTACACCAAACCAGTTTGTGATTGATTGCAGTGCAGTAAACTTTAAATTGTGTGATTTTTTTTGCGAAATATGGAACAACAACTAAAAAAAAATATCAGAACACGTGGGAGGTAAGTAAATGTGAATAACAAATAAATACAGGTGAAATTATTTAACAATTTTAAATGCAATTATCTTAAATTTATTGTAATAAACAAATTTAAGTTGTTGTGAGTGATAAAAATATTGTAATTTGTGAATAATACCGTTATTTATCCAACGTCCCTTATAAGGGACGCTATGCAGACAGGACAGTTAACAATAATATTTTATTACAACAATAATATTTTATTACAGACTAACAGTAGCTGAAATACTGGAAGAGATCGAAGCTTTTGATGGTCAGTTGCAAGAACTTAACATTTTTGCAATCCCACCATTGGAGGAAAATGAGACCGACCAGGATTCGGACGGTAGTGATGACGAACACGAGGCGAACTTGGATCATCTCGGCCCGAAATTATTGACTGCGGAAGGCGAGATCCAAGACGAATTCGATGACTGGAGTGACAGTGACGATGAGCCACTGGCTAAATACAGAAAAACCGTCAGTTCGAGTGTGCGTGCGGGAAATGCCTTGCGTTGGCGAAAAGTGGACCCGGTGTACGACATTCAAACGGAATGCGAAACAATACCGCCGAGTGCCGAAGCTCAAGCCGCCAGATCGCCTACTGATTTCTTTGAGCTACTTTTTTCTGAAGGCATTATAAATTTTTGTGTTGAGCAGACAAATTTATATGCTCTTCAGAAAAATGTTGACCTGAGAATGAGTATGGATGAGGCGAGAGTTTTTATTGGCGGTATTTTGATGTCGGGGTACGCAAAATACCCCAACAAACGTTTGTATTCGTCGGAGAAATCTGATTCGCCAAGATTGCTAGCGAACAGCATGAGGCTGAATCGATTTGAGAAAATTCTAAATAATTTCCATCTGAATGACAACACGCAAGCCCAGGGTACCGATCGGCTTTACAAAATTAGGCCACTAATTACTCCCCTGAACGAGGCGTTTCTAAAGCATGGTGGAATGGACGAGAATCTCTCCATTGATGAGAGCATGATACCGTATTATGGTAGGCACTATGCTAAACAATATATCCGTGGTAAGCCCATTCGATTTGGATTCAAAAACTGGGCTCTGAATTCCAGCGATGGATATATGCTTCAGTTCGATGTGTATATGGGCAAAAATGCAGAGAGCGTCCCGCAAGGATATGGAGTAGGAGGTGACAAAGTGGTTGATCTCCTCACGAAAGCAAATGTACCACACCATAAGGGATTCAAGGTAAGAAATGAAATGTTCGTCATATGATATTACAATAATAATATAATTTACATTACAGCTTTTCATCGACAACTATTTTACGTCCGTGAAACTGTTGCGCAATTTGGCCAGTATGGGGATTTGTCCAATAGCCGCCATGAAAAAGGAGCAGCGAGGATCCAGCGATTTTCGTTTTACTGACGATGGCAAGATTCTCGTTGTAAGATGGAAAGATAATAATGTGGTGACCATTGGCTCCAACTTTGATACCAACGATATCGGGACGTGCAAGCGCTACGCGAGAGGGCAAGGTGCGATACAGATACCACAGCCGAAACTTCTTCAGCGCTATAATCAAGGCATGGGAGGCGTTGATAAAATGGACCAGATGGTGGCTGTGTACCGGTCTAGAATTAGACAGCGTAAGTGGTGGTGGCCCATATTTGCATATTTGTTGGACGCATCGATCGTAAACGCATGGATCCTTATGCGGAAAGTTCATCCGAAAGACCCAAATTGTGGCACTCTGCTAATTTTTCGCAGGTACATAGCCAATTCGTATCTAGAGAGATACGGAATGCCGTCCTCAAGAGGATCGAGTAGAACCAGCATCAACCCTGATGCGCGCTACGATGGAAAAAACCATATGATTGAGTACTCGAATACGGATAAGAGATGTGCCTATTGCGGAAAGAAGTCTAACTTTTTATGTACTAAGTGCGAGAAAGGGCTTCATCCGAAAGAATGCTTCAAGCAATATCACACTTCAAATGCCCATACTGCATAGTGTCCCTTATAAGGGACGGTCCCCAAAACCCCCAAAACACATTTTTTTTAATAAATCGAATTAAAACTACTTTATTAGACTTATTTCAATGCATAATGATAAAAAAAGGTAAGTATAGCGCCAGGGAACTTCATGCACTAATGGGTTAAACTCGTAAAGTCTTAAACCGTGTAAAACTCGTAAGTTTACGAGGTTTTTATGGGAACGCGCCCTTTGTGAAAAGGCGTAAATGGGTTTGACAGATTAACCAGGATTTTGTGAAGCAATTTTTGTTTCGTAGTATTTCCCATAACATGCGAAGTCGTTTGTGCATAAAATTTGCCTCGTAAATTTACGAGGGGCTCGTAAATAGAGCTCCATACAAATTTTGACAGTTCTTTTACGAGGCTCGTCAATTTACGAGCCTTACGAGGTTTACGAGGCTTTCACGAGTTTAAGAGAGGACCCCTACTGTTTATGTACCGGACTTTCAGATTTTTTGAGCAGTGTGGCTGAGGAATTCATTAATATTTATTCAAAATTGATGTATACAATCGCTTTTTAGCAAAGAAGTTGTTTTTGAAGAAATTTTAGGAAAATGGGGGTGGAACCGCCCACTTTTATCACATATGTATGTGTATCTCAAAAACCAATTGACCGATCTCAACCAAATTTGATACACACATTGCGGTTAGGCTTCTTATGCGCCACATTGAAAATTTTTATTTATTTGTATTTATTTTATTTGAAAATCGAATAAAAACTACGGTGGAGCCCGCAACGTAACGGTAATTTACAAAAACTCAAACATAGCTATTTCAAGACGGTACTTAAGGAAGCTAAGCACAATGTGTATACCAAATTCAGTCGAGATCGGTCAAACAGGTTTTGAGAGGCATATATCATACAAGTGGGCGGTGCCACCGCCATTTTCCTTTCTTGAAAAACCACTTCTTTGCTAAAGAGCGATTGTATATATATATATTAGTATTGATGAATTCCCTAGCCACAATGCTAAAAAAATTTAAAATTCCGGTATATAAACAATATAAATTCAGGGCCGTATTTAAGAAAAGTCGCCTAACTTTGACAATTTTTAAGCGATTGCAATAAATAACTTATCAGACTATTTAAAAATAGATTTAACTTTAGATAGTACTACATATTTTGAAATTGTGGAAATAATCGAAGGCCAAAATTTAAAAAATTAAGAGAAATATGTTTTATTTTTTATTTTTATTTTACCCGATAAAAAAACCCAAGAAGCCAAGTCCGACAATTGGTAATTATATACCATCTTAAAGGCCAATATATCCTCTTCTGAGATCATATTCGATATTTGAAATGGAATCAAACATAACCATTCATAAACTCATAAATCTACAAAATCGTGTTTTCTGACCTAAATCGACAGGTCGCGTCTTCTAAACGGCCTTCAAAAAATCTATAAAAATTGGCAATAATATTTCTCATAAAACCGAATAAAATTAGGCGTAGGGTCTTGAAATTTCCAAAAATAAACATTTCGATGGGCACCCTAGTGTTTATGTCAGGGTTGTGCACTTACACAAGTTATCACATTTTTTACACTTACATTGTAAATAATTGTAAAATATTGTACAATATTGTAAACTATTGTAAACAATTGTAAAATATTGTAAACAATTGTAAATTATATAATGCAACTCTGATTGTCAGCAAACCAGCTGATTTCTATTTTATTTATTGGGTTGTTCGTCGCGTTTTAAATAAAAATGACTTCAGCCGGTGCTCCAACAAGAAATATTTGGAAAGATCTGAACTTTCAAGTTCAAAAGGATGGAAAAAAATATACGGCTCTGTGTCTGTTTTGCAAAAAAACAGTCTCAAATATAGCAACACAGAGACTTAAACAGCATCGGCATGTGCAATATGTATCTGCAAACATGTACATACAACTTAATTTTTCTCGATCGCTATTTTCTAGAAAACGTTGCAACTTAAACATTGATGATTTAGATGATGAGTGCACAATAATATATGAACCAGAGCACTTTGACAGCAGTCAATTTATGGAGCTAGAAAATTCTGGATCTTCGGTCATGGATACGTCCAGCGACAATATAACTATTATAACAACTGAATTAACTCCAGCTGCAGCAACATCATCATCGCAATCAACAACGCCAACGGGATCAGCTTCA